CTGGAGCTGTAGCACATTGCATACACTTGCTTTCTCTGTTATATATTAACTGACTATAAAGCTATGGGTTTATTTCTGGACTCTCTACTCTGTTCCATTGATCTATGTGTCTGTTGTTATGCCCGTACCATGCTGTTTTGATTACTATGGTCTTAGAGTATAGTTTCACGTTAGGGAGTGAGTTTCCTCCAAATTTGTTCTTCTTTCTCAGGATTGCTGTTGCTATGGAGGGCCTTTTTGGTTCCATATAAATTTTTAAAATATTTGTTGTAGTTCTGTGAATATGTCATTGAAATTCTGGTAGGATTTGGGTTGAATATATAGATAGCTTTGGGTAATATCAGCATTTTAATGATGTTAATTCTTCCTATCTATGAATATGGTATGTGTTCCCGTTTATTTGTGTCTTCTTCATTTTCTTTCTTCAGTGCCTTATAATTTTCTTAGTACAGGTCTTTTACATCCTCGGTTAGGTTTATTTTCTTATAGCAATCGTGAATGGGATTGTTTTCTTAATTTCCTTTTCTGCTAGTTTGTTATTGGCATGTAAAAATGCAAATGATTTCTGTTTAGTAATTTTGTATCCTGCTACTTTGCTGAATTCATTTAGCAGTTCTAGTAGTTTCGTGGTGGAATCTTTGGGATTTTCTTCATGTAGTGTCATGTCATCTGCAAATAATGACAGTTTTACTTCTTCTTTTCTAATCTGGATGCCTTTTATTTCTTCTTCTTGTCTGAATGCTGTGGCTAGGATTTCCAGTGCTACATTGAATAAGAGAGGTGAAAGTGGATTCCTTGTCTTGTTCCCAATCTTAAGGGGAACACTTGTAGTTTTGCTAGTTGAGTATGATGCTGGCAGTGGGTTTGTCATGTATGGCCTTTATTATGATTAGGTATGTTCCTGCTTATCCCAATATGCTGACAGTTTTTATCATAAATGGATACTAGATTTTATCAAATGCTTTTTCTGCATCTACTGATGTGACCATGTGGTTATTATCCTTCATTCTGTTTATGTGATGAATCACATTTATTGATTTGCCAACATTGCACCAACCCCACTTGGTCATGGTGTATATGTCTGATGCACTGCTGAATTCAGTTTGCTAATTTATTGTTGAGGATTTTAGCAACTATGTTCATCAGGGATATTGGCCTATAATTTTCTTTTTTTGTAGTGTCTTTATCTGGATTTGGAATTAGAATAATGCTAAAATAAGTTTTGGAGCCTTCCCTCCTCTAGAATTTTATTAAATAGTTTGAGAAAAAGAGGTGTTAGTTGTTCTCACAATGTTGGTAAAATACACCTGTGAAACAATCTGGTCCAGGGCTTTCGTTTGTTGGGAGTTTTTTGATTACTGCTGCAATTTCAGTATGTGTCATCTGTCTATTCAGATTTTCTGATTCTTCCTGATTTAGTTTTGGAAGATTGTATGTTTCTTGGAATTTATCCATTCCATCCAGGTTATTTAGTTTGTTGGCATATAGTTGTTCATAACGTTTTCTTATAATCCTTTGCATTTCTTTGGTGTCAGTTGTTATTTCTTCTCTTTCATTTCTGATTTATTTATTTGGGTCCTTTCTCTTTTTTTCTTGATGAGTCTGGTTAAAGGTCTGTCAATCTTGTTTATCCTTTCAAAGTACCAGCACTTTGATTTATTGATATTTTGTATCATTTTTTAAGACTCGATTTTGTTTATTTCTGCTCAGATCTTTATTTTTTCCTTCTTTCTACTCACTTTAGGCTTTGTTTGTCATTCCTTTTCAAGTTCCTTTAAGTATCAAGTTAGATTGTTTACTTCAACTTTTTCTTGTTTTTTTGAGATAGGCTTGTAATGCTATGAATTTCCCTCTTAGGATAGCTTTCCCCATACCCCAGATTTTGGTTCTTTGTGTCCTCATTTTCATTGTTTCAAGGCATCTTTTGATTTCTTCCTTAATCACCTTGTTCACCCATTCACTGTTTAGTAACATGTTATTTAGCTACCATGTGTTTGCATGTTTTTCAGTCTTCTTGTGACTGATTTCCAGTTTCATAGCATTATCATCCAATAAGATGCTTGATATGATTTCAAACTTCTTAAATTTACTGAGACTTGTTTTTTGTCTTAACATGTGGTCTATCCTACGAAACACTCCATGTGCACTTTAAAAGTATGTATATTCTGCTACTTTATGATGAAATGCTGTGAAGATATCAAATAGATACATTTGATCTACTGTGTTATTTAAGGTCACTGTCTCCATGTTGATTTTCTGCCTGGAAGATCTATCCACTGAAGTGAATGTTATAAAATCACCAAGAATGACTGTATTTCTGTCAATCTCTCCCATTATGTCCATCAAGATTGCTTAATATATTTAGGTGTTCCTTTATTGGGTGCATATCTAGTTGGATTGTTCCCTTTATTGTTATATACTGTCTTTCTTTGTCTCTTACTATAGCCTTTGTTTTAAAGTCTGTTGTGTGGGATATAAGTACTGCTACTCCACCTTTTTTTCCTTCTATTTCCATGAAATATCTTCTTCCATCCCTTTACTTTTAGTCTGTGTATCTTTCTATCTGAAATGGGTCTCTTGGAGGTAGCGTGTATATATATGGGTCTTATTTTCTAATCTATTCAGCTAGCCTTTGTCTTTTGGCAGGAGCATTTAAGCTATTTACATTTAAGATGACTATTGATAGATATGTATGTAGTGCCATTTTATTGTTAGACTATTTTCTTCTACTTTATTTTTTCTTTCTCTTTTTCTTCTTCTTCTTAAAGCAAGCTCTTTAACCACATTCTCTGCCTGGGTGTTTTTTTCTTCTATCTTGTCTTCCAAATCACTGCTTCAATCCTCTGCTTCATCTAATCTACAGTTTATTACTCCCAGTGTATTATTTATTTCAGATATTGCATTCTATATTTCTGACTGGTCTTTTTTCATAGTTTGTAAGTCTTTTTTCATATTGTCAAGTATCCTTATAATCATTACTCTAAACTTTCTGTCTAATAAATTGCTTACCTCCATTTCAACTAGTTCTTCTTCTGGAGAATTCTCTCATTCTTTCATATGGGGTCAATTTCTTTGTCTTCCCATTTTGGCTGCTGCTTTGTATTTTCTGCCTTAGTTGTTAAACTAATCAGTGATACAGCTTTTTAAGCTGCAGTCAGCAGCCAGGTTTAAGTACCACAAGGTGGGTGACAGAGTAATTCCTGTGGGTGAAGCTTTTCCTTTCCCTCAGGCTGATGTCACTTGGAGAGGCTGATGCCACTTGGAGAGGAGTGCTCTGCCTGAGCAAGATGGCTTGTGCAGTATGGGGAATGACTGTCTGGGATCCTGGTGTCTGTCCCTTCAGACCTCTCCTCAGATCCACCAACCCCAGACTCTCCTCAAGCATTTCTAGTCCAATATGCCCTCCCTCTGACTGAACTCAGGGTAAGTGGCTACAAACAATAGTTTGTGCATCAGCTCTTTTTAAGAGGCTCTCTGTATCTTTAGCTGTCTCTCCCTGGCAGACAGAAATACTGCTGCTTTTCATAGCTGGATGTTATCTGGGCTCCTTTCTGGCTGTGGTGGGGTAGGCTGGGGTTTAGACACCACACTCCTCGGGGGGAACCCACAGCTACAGAAATATCCCTCCAGCACTTCAGCTACCACCTGTGGGAGCCAGCCCTCTCATGCCTCTTCCACATTCTCTACCAGTCTCACTGTGCTGAAGGCGTTTCTATTGTCTGTCTATATTTATAACGCTTCTCTCTAGATAGTATTCAGTTGGTTATTCAGGATGCTTTCTCTACAATTTAATTGTTGATGTTTTCTGTGCTCGCTTCGGCAGCACATATACTAATTATTGATGTTTTCTTTTAAAAAGCAAAAATAAAATTAAAATTTAATTTAATTTAAATTTAAAATCAAATAAAAAATAAAAATAAATAAAATAATTAAAAATAAATAATTAAAAAATAAAATAAAATACCTTTGCACAGATCGCTACTCAGCAATATACTTTTCCTGGCCTGTCACCTGTTTTTATAAACAAAGGTTTATTGGAACACAGTCATGTCCATTCATTTATATAGTTTGTTTGGCTTTTTTCATGCTACAACGACAGAGGTGGGGAAATGCGATTATCTGCCCCACCAAGCCTAACTATTTATTATCTGACCATTTAAATAAAAAGTCTGCCAAACCTGACCTTACTAAATAATCCACTAACTATTCTCCATACTGTAGCTTGAATAAAAGTTTTAAGAACACAAAGCTGATCATTCTTTTTCAGAGATAAACCCAAATCCCTTAAGGTAACTCCTCTAAATTTTCCAACTCCCTACAGTGCCACTATCCAATTCAACCTTTATGTGACAGTCATTCTATTTTAATCTTTTCAAACTCACCTTGCTCCATTCTTTGGTCTTTCAGAATGTACTATGACCCCCAGTTGGGATAACAACCACTGTTCTCCTAGCTAACCCCAGGTCACTGCTCAGGTTCTCCATGGTAATGTTATTTCCCAGAGAGCCATTCCTGACCCCTCAGGCTGGGATTACATGGTCCTGAATTTCCTCTGTCACTGACACTGTTAAACTCTAATGCACAGTTCATTTTTAGAGCAAATCAAGAGCCATACAGTGCAGAGACAGGGTCTGTAATATAAACTACGATACTTCTCCAGCCAGTGGAGACTAGTATGTACAAGGCATTCATACATTTTTGTTGAAATAAATTTCTCTTTTGCAACATAATTCTGAGAATCCAAAGAACTTCCTCAGTGATTCACCAGAAATAACCAGGTAGATTTAACCAATGAAGATAAATAAGTCATATATACCCATGACAGAACTGATATCAAAATCTGAAAACCTAGGAACCCACAAAAAGACAGTATCTAAGCACACCCTGGGCTTTTTAGTATATCAGCAGAGAAAACCTTGATCTTTAGAAGTTATTGTTCTAGATCATATTTAATGAAAACAACAAAAATAAGGAAAGTAAAATAGGTGTTCTCCCATTACCTGCTCTTCCTTCTCCTTTTCTTTGGTCTTACTTCTATAGACTCTAGCAGAGGTGGCATCCTGGGATGGAATGGCTGAGACCTGATGCAGTGGCATGCTCATCACAGCCTCCTGTCTCGTTGTCTTTACAGAAGACAGAGTCCAGTGGGAGAGTCATTTTGGGCCATGGACTTAAAGCTGAGAGAGAAAGAAGATAAGATATAACTGAGCTAAAACACTTTTCATATTTCCAACAGTGAAATTAGGGTTTTTTATTTAAGTAAGTTACAATGCTTGACATAAATACTTGGTCTTCAAAAATTATAGAAAATGAATGAATGTAAGGGAAATTGTAACATTTTTCTCAAGTGATAAAATATGAGCACCTAAAAGAGGCTGGCAGATCAGGTACGAGGAAAGGATAATCAGATATTAATTTTTAATTGATACTTAGATTTTAAACACAGCAGTGTCATCCTTTGTTATAAGAATATTTTTAAAATGAAACTTTTTTCTGAGTATGTACTCATCCTGATATAAGCAGTGATCTTTCCTTAAAACTGCTGTCCTTGAGTCCATATGATGGTAGGATTAAAGGTTAAGAAGTCTAAAATAAATTTAAGATACCTATGACCTATGCATAACCTTCTAAAAGTCTAGACACTCTAGACCAGTTGTTGGCAAAATTTTCCTGTAAAGGACCATATATGATACTAAATATTTTAGGCATCATGGGTCAGATTTGTTACAACTACTCACTTTTGCTGTTGTAGCATGAAAGAAGCCACAGAAAGTATATAAACAAATGTGAATGGTCATGTTCCAATGAAACTTGACTTACAAAAACAAATGGTAGACTAGATTTGACCCATGGGCCTGCAGTTAACATCTGCTCTAAAGAATTTTTCAAGGAAGATGAATGTCCTCACTGACATTTCTGAGACCATGAAATGGCTGCCCTTAGTCAAAATAATAGTGTTTGAATCAGCTATATTCAATGATCCTTGGCAGCCCAGCTTCTTTTTCTAATTTTCTCCTGCATTCCTCCAAAGTGCCTAGTAATTGGAATGTATGTTTTCTCTCTTCCGCAGCCCCCACTGGGATGTATCAAACTCTTTACAAAACCAATCAAATATAAATTATCCAAATTATCCATAAGGTTTAATGTAGTCATATTTCATGCTGTTCAAATTTTAACAAAGAATAGAAACCTTAAAAGCCCCGCAAAATGCATCTCTAATTTGGGGAATTTCATTAGTTAACCATGTACTAGGGGTGGGATGGTAAGCAGGGAAGGTAAACAGGACCTGATAATCTAAGGTCATATCTGATGAGCAGCTATTTCTTCCACTTCTCCCAAAACTCTGCTCTGGACCAAAGGTAGATGTTTGTGAGGCTGGTCCCACCTCTGACATTGTTACTAACCCAGCGAAGAGCAAAAGGACTCATAAAATAAACTTCCTTCACAAAACTCTGATCAACAAGCAACAGCAACAATAAGAAACTGAAAGGAATCAACATGTATGAGAAAATGAGCTAAAAGAATATAATGTTTTAATCTTGGCTGGGTAGCTGAATTGGTTAGAGCATCATCCTGATATGTCCAGGTTGAGAGTTCAACCCCCAGTCAGAACACATACAAGTATCAACCAATGAAGGCATATATAAGTGGAACAACAAATTAATGTTTTTTTTCTCTTCTTCCCCCTTCCTCTCTCTAAAAATCAATGAATAAAAATTAAAGTAAAGAGTATTCTGTTTTTAAACATCTAGATTTATAATAGGTAGGTGACCACTGATAACTAAAAAACAGGAAAATAAAGTAGGTAGTATTACTGTCTTGAGTCAAAATAAATAATAAATAAAATGGGACTTCCGCCAAGATGGAGGCATAGGTGGAGACGCGGTGCCTTCTCACACAACCAAGTTTAGAGACAACTAAATATTAGCAAAAGAAAACACAGTCAGAAAACAGAAAATTGAACTTTTCGGAAGTCTGTTAACAAGAAATTCTTCACCTGACCGATAAGGGGCGAAACCAGCAGCTGGTGGAGCGGGGTTGCACAGGAATACTCGGTCAGACGGACTCAGGCGCGCGGAATCCAAGCAGACGGTTGGACCGAGCGAGCGACCGCGGGGAAACGGCGCGGGGAAACGGCGAGGGAGCAGGGCTGCAGGTTGACTGTGGTCCCACATTTGTGCGCGGATAGACAAGTGAGGGAGTGGGCGATTGGACGGGGACCCAGCGGGTCCCCGCAGCAAGCGACAAGGAGGCCGCCGCCATTTCCCTGCTCTGACCCCACCTCCACATACAGCATCATAACCCAGCTACTCTGAGTGGCCCAGCCCAGGTGAACCACCTAAGGCTCTGCTCCTCACCCAGCGGCTAGAAACAGCAGAGGGGGCCGCCATTTCCCCGCTCTGACCATGCCCCCACATACAGCGTCACAACCCAGCAACCTGGGAGTCCAAGGCGCCGCTCCTCACACTTAAAAGGGCGTGAACAGACCAAAAATGGCTCAAGAAAATCTCAAAGCCCCAGAGCCTATAAATCTAAGCGATGAAGAAATAGCAAAACTCTCAGATGCACAGTTTAAAACACTGGTCATCAGGATCCTCACAGAACTGGTTGATTTTAGCCACAAATTAGACAAATATATGAAGGCGAAACTAATTGAAATGAATGGAATTGCACAGGAAACCAATAGCAATGAAAAGGAAACTGGGACTCAAATCAATGGAGTGGACCAGAAGAAAGCAAATAATGGCCAAACAGAAAAGAGTCAAGAAGCAAGAATTCAAAGAAATGAGGAGAGTCTTAGGAACCTCCAGGACATCTTTAAACGCTCCAACATCCGAATTATAGGGGTACCAGAAGGGGGAAAGGCACAGCCACCAGTGGAAAACTTATTTGAACAAATAATAAAGGAAAATTTCCCCAATCTGGCAAAGGAAATCGACTTCCAGGAAATCCAGGAAGCTCAGAGAGTCCCAAAGAAGTTGGACCCAAGAAGGAACACACCAAGGCACATTCTCATTACAGTAGCCAAGATTAAAATGAAGGAGAGAATCCTAGAAGCAGCAAGAGCTAAGGGGACAGTCACCTACAAAGGAGTCCCCATCAGACTGTCAGCTGATTTCTCAAAAGAGACCTTACAGGCAAGAAGGGGCTGGAAAGAGGTATTCCAAGTCATGAAATCCAAAGACCTACAACCAAGATTGCTCTATCCAGCAAAACTTTTATTTAGAATGGAAGGACAGATAAAGTGCTTCTCAATAAGATCAAATTCAAGGAGTTCATCATCACCAAGCCCTTATTATATGAAATGTTAAAGGGACTTATCTAAGAAAAAGAAGTTAAAGAAACATGAACAGTGAAAGGACAACAAACTCACAGTTGTTAACAACCACACCTAAAACAAAAGCAAACTAAAAGGACAGCTAGATCAGGAGTGGAAACATAGAAATGAAGATCACATGGAGGGTTAGCAACAGGGGAGTGGGAGGAGGAGAAGGGGGGAGAAGGTACAGAAAATAAGTAGCATAGACAGTAGATAGAAAATAGAAGGGGGGCAAGAATAGCATGGGAAATATAGAATCTAAAGAACTTGAGACACACGGACATAAACTAAAGGGGGGGTAATGGTGGGGACGGGGGGGTAGGGTGGAGGGGAATGATGGGGGGAATAGAACAACTGTAACAGCATAATCGATTTAAAAAATTTAAATAAATAAATAAATAAATAAAATGTTAGCATTTAGATATTAAAGATCACCTACTATATTTCACACCTTTGATAAAGGGGGCACAAGATGGCACACCATACACAAATGGTCTGAATATTTGTGTTCACATACACAAGACAAGAGGCATGTATGTACTGCTGAGTTCTTAACCCTCTGGGAGATTGCGGTAGTCAGTGGTGAGTAGTTTTTCATCACTAATGCATTAAAGTTCTCTCTCACAGATGACAAACTCCATGTGCCCTCTTGGAAGACTTAGTCAAACTAACCATGCCTAGATTCCCACCACATATCCTGCCAGTACCTGTCTTTAGTGCTTACTGCATAATCATCATTATTGTATCACTGCTACAAGACCATGATAAGCCTGGGGAAAACTATTTATGCCAGAGAAACATAAGTGTGGAAAGACTTTTAATTTTCTGCAGATTTGAAAGACCTCCCTCCTTATAGCTCTGAGTAACAGACCTGAAAGCTTGCCTAAAGGAATCCCTCTCCTATTCCAGGCATATTTAGTATAAAAATGGTAATTTTTAAATCCAAACTAAACAGGGATCCAAGACATCTGCAGAGGAGGTAGAAGCTACACACACTCCTCTTGAGAAACTGACTTTACAGCTAAATTACAGAAAATTAACCTGAATGACCAACTGAAGGACAACTGAACAGGGGTATTATATCCAAGGATTTACAGAAGAAGCTACACAAACACTGGTAAGAAGGGTGAAGACACAAAGAGAACTGGTCCATGGCTCCAGGCATGGCAACTGAGAAGCAGGAAGGATATCTCAGCTGTGAAAGTCCTCCTGAGGAGCACAGGGTCTCAGTCCATTTTGGGATCCACACACCAGAGCACCAGGGCCAGGAAGAAAAGCCTGCACAGCCTCTGGCAGTAAAAATCAGTGGGGACTCTGCTGAGAAGAGGAAGGAGTCTGCTAGAATCCCAGGTGCTCTCCTGAAGGGCCACTGTACAGGAGCTCACTCTTGGGCACTCACCCAGGGCTCTGGTAGATGAAAAGCGATGCAGGGCATACAGAAGACGTAAAGAGAAGATCTGGGTGGCCAGGCTCCAGAGAGATTTGCAGGGTCAGATACTGAGGTCCCTTTCCTGAGTCCCTATCCCACAGGATCAGGCTATTATTACAGCACCAGCTGGTGGCAGTGTACTAACATGGTCCTCCGAACACTAGAGACATCACCTGCCAAGGTCGAGTCCAGAACAAAGGACTGCTCGCTGCACCCAACAGAAACCTGAGGTGTGCTTATTTTCTGGAGAAACTAACTATTGGTTTGGCCACAAAGTCTGTTTTTGTTTTTGTTTTTTCCAGAAAATAAAAGATACATTCTTTTCATTTTCACTAATAACTTTATTGATTTGGATATTTTGAGCACGTTGGCTATCTCCCGCTAATCGCTTTTAGTGGGTAGAGGCCAGGAGTGCTACTAAATATCTT